AATATTAGTTCGGATTTATAAACTAAACTTTTTTATAAAAAATACTATATTGTATCAAAAATTCCTACTACCCTTTTATTACCACCCCCTCCCCCGTTTATTAGGTCTAGACTAAAATTCCCACCCCAACTCCTTTTATTCCCCCCCTCCCCTACCTTTTGTACTACAGAGTAAGAGCATTAACGATAACGTTTTTCTTTAAAAGTTGTTACGCCCATTTATTTATTTATTAACTGAATTACTCAACTATTTAAACATTTCATGTCTTTATATGACCAGGAAAAAAAAAAAATGTTTTAACGATTTGACCACTGCATATTTTTAAAATTTAAAAACGCGCTACAAAAACTTACCTAAACTTATTTGAAAAAAAAATTAAAATAATAATAAATATTAAAGAAAGAGAAAATAAAAAAAAAACTTAGTTAAAGCAAAAACACAAAAAAATAAATATATATATATATATATATATATATATATATATATATATATATATATATATATATTATATATATATATATATATATATATATATATATATATATATATATATATATATATATATATATATATATATATATATATATATCTATATATATATAACGCAACTAAAACAAAACTCATCAAACTAAAATGCTTAGTCTATTTAATTTACGCATTAAAAAACCTTTTCAATCTTTGTTTCAACATTTTTATTATTTTTTATTTGTTTAATATGTTCAAAAGTTAAATATTTCTCATAAAAAATACATAGTTATATAAATAAAATAAAAAAACATTTTATAAATACTTTTTTTTAAATTAATTAGAAGTGTTTTTTTTTTTTACTTTATTAAAAGGGTTTTGATAATATAAAAGCATTTAAGATCAAACTTATTAAATTGTAGCGGTTTTCTAAAACTTTTTTTTTAACAAAATTTTGTTTATCTTTTTAAATGCATTAACTTTAATCATTCTTATATTTAAATTTGTTAAAGAGACTTTCGTAGTCGTAGAATATCATTGTTTATAAAAACAAAACAATTTTTTCTTTTTTAATAAGATTTATTTTAGAAATGAACACTTCAACAATTTATATGTTTTAAATTAAAAAAATATATACAACTGTCAATTATATTTAAAAAACAAAACTTTTTTTCAGTAAATTGTTACTTTATTTAAAATCGTTTCGCTAATATAAAAACATTTGTTTAGAAGTTTTGATGTAATTAATTTCACTTTATTAGAATATTTTTTATTTAGCACGTTTCTAAAATGTTTTATGAATTAGCCGAGGTCAAACCGTCATAGCAAAATGTAACTTGCGTGGTCAAATAAAGACGTGAAATCACATGTCTTCCTGTGAAAGTCTGTTAATATTTATATTTATTAATATATTAGCAACAATTAGTTAATTAATAAAAAAATATTCTCAAAAAAGACAAAAATTGACTACAATAGGATTAGAACCTGGAGCGCAGGCACCACGGTCAAATTTATTAACCACTATATCACACGATATTGTAACTCATTGTAATAATTGTAACTTAAGTTAATAAACTGAATAAAATGAATTTGTTTTGACGCATGATATTTTTCAAGTAACTAATGCGCTTTAAAATAAAATAACTTCCACATATGTAAGCTTTACACTATCAGAGAATCAGTGACCTGGGTAAATAAATATATATATATATATATATATATATATATATATATATATATATATATATATATATATATATATATATATAAATATATACATATATAAACTTTTGCAAATACATATTGGCAAAAGTCTTGCCAACCTAAACCATAGGTAGGCAAAAGGTTTTGCAACAGGATTCAGTAAACCTGCAAACTTGCGAACGTTTAGCATTATTTACATAAAAATAATGCTGAGTTAGACAATTGCCTAAAAGTTTAGAAAAACTGAACGAAAGTTTTGCTTTATTTTAAATATTTAGTTTATTATTAATAAATAATAGTTTATCCATTTTTATTAAATGTTGCAAGTTTTTCTTTTTAACTTTTTTTTTAAGAATTTTAAAGAAACATTTTGCTTTCCGTTTTTATTTTGACTATTTTATTTAGAAATTAAATTAATTTTTTTTAATTTTGTTTTTAATTCAATAAAAAAATTATTGTTTTCGTTTTAATTTATTTGTTTTGTTTACTACTTTAATAAAAAGTTTGTATTTTAGAATTTAAACATTCATTAAGCCATTTTTAATTTAGTTATTTTATAAAGAATTGAACGTTACTTTTTTTTTTCTTTTTTTTTTTTTGTAAAACTAATTTAGAATTTAATGAAAAACTTCGTTTTTATTTGAATTATTTTATTTAGAGATTAAAACATTCGTTTTGCAGTTGAGTTTTTAAATCAATTTATTCAGAATTTAAATAAAAAAGCATTGTCATTTTTATTGCATTGCAAATAAATCACATTTTTAAATTCTGAGGTCAGCAATTTTATGCCAACCTCAAAAACTGTCAGATTAGCAAATAGCATTGCCAAAAGCTGACCCTAATTATGAGACCTGTTTATAAATTGTAAGTTATAAATTCAAAGTTATATATATATATATAACTATGAATCAGTGTTTAGATAAGATCTTTAATGTCACACTGAAATAGTCTGTTGCCGCAAAGGAATGCCTCTACATCGACTGAAGTTTTGGCATAGGGCAGCAATCTTTTTTTTTCATTGTTATCTGTATATGCTGTAGTAGATATATACAACTTCGGAATTAGAAAAAATGAAGTCAGCAATAAATTGCTAACCTAAGACTGTTAGGGGTTGGCATCATGTTGGGAAAAAAAATTTGACACAAAAAAGCTACCATAAAACATAGAAACAAGGCGATTTTTTGCCAACCTTGAACCTTTTTAGGTCAGCAGTTAAGTCGGCATTGCTGAATATTAACACTGATATAGTATAGATTTATAGATTTATTTTTTAAAACAAATTTTATAGTATAGAGTTTAGTTTGAAATAATATTAATTTTTCATTATTGGATATTTGAATAAGTTATTTATGTTTGAAACTAGCATAAAAAAAAGTTTTTTTTCAATTTTGACTTCTTCCAAAAACTAAAGTCCCCATGCACGGACTTGATCGAATTAAATCCTAATATTCACAAAAAACTCAATTATTCACAAAAAACAAATAAATTTTTCACAATTATTCACAAAAAAAAACCACAATTTTTCACAATAATTCACAAAAAAAAAAAATCAATTTTTCACAATTATTCACAAAAAAAATCACAATTTTTCACAATTATTCACAAAAAAAAAATCAATTTTTTACAATTATTCACAAAAAAAAATCACAATTTTTCACAATTATTCACAAAAAAAAATCAGCTGCAGATAAAATTATTTAAACCAACTTTAAAGCTCCCAAAATATACCTTTTTTATGTTATCAAAATACTAGTGTCTCTATTTTTGCTTTATTTCTATAAATACATGTTTAAAAACATTTTTTTTTTCTTTATATAATTGTACTTGCAACCTAAATTGTTAAAAATAGTTCAAATATTCATTTTTATTTTATTTTTATAAAATATTCCATATATTTAAATAGATGAAAATACTTTAAAAATGCATATTTTGGTAAATTTAAAATCTATGTAAAATGAAAAATCCGCTATTAAAACATTATATTTGTAGTATATTTTGAACATCTATCATTGCCTAATAATTCTTAAAAAAAATCAGCTGCAGATAGTTAAAATAAAGGAACTAATATTCATTGCAAACCACACTGTATTGACACTATATTTGTGTTGTTTTTATACCACATTTTTAATCATATTTTTGTTATTCCGTACTGTACGTATACTTATTATATTATGATTTTTAATTTGATGTATTGACTTACATATCTTTAGATTGATTATTAAATTGAAAATTAGAATAGTAGCTTTTCATGAAAAAATAAATACCCAATTTATGACAAATTTTAGGAATTTCCGCTTGTGATTTTTATTATTTATTATTCAAAAATATTGATGAAAAACTTGTGAAAAATAAACGGAAATCATCATCTACAATTTTTAACTAAAATATTTAGTTTTGGCTTCATATGAAACTTTTTTTTTTGAGAGGGGGGCATTGCTTTTGACCCCCTCCCTCGTTGCATCCCATTTAAACAAATATATATATATATATATATATATATATATATATATATATATATATATATATATATATATATATATATATATATATATATATATATAAGCAAAAAAATGAAAACTTTTGCTAAAATTCTTGACTGGGTCGCATATGCGATATCTGAAAAACAAAACCTCGAAATCAAAAACTGTTTTCAGATTTAGATTCAACATTATTGAATAAAGTATAAAAACATCAAAATTTTAACTTAGGCCAAAAATCAAGTTTTTCAGACCACTGTGATCTGAGACAAATCTTCCAATGATGCCCTTTCTCTTTTAAACAAGGTGCGAAAATGCATTGTAAACATAAATGGACCTGCTCTTGCAGCCAACCTCACACCATTATCACATCGTCGTAATGTTGCTATTGTTGTTTTTCTCATTTTCTTTTCTATAAATACTATAATGAGCACAGCTCTAAAGAGCTAGCGTCTCTTATGCCATCTACTAAAATTCATTCTTCTGTAACTCATCATTTAATCAAGTCTCAATCAAGTGCTCCAAAAATTTGTCTAGTTTTTTTCCTCGAACATCAGTTTTTTGGAGTTTGCTCCTTTTATCTTGTTTCCTTGATTCATATAATTTTTATATCTTGCTCTATAAATTTTATCTTTTTTTTCCAACTTCTAACTCTAATAGTGGTTGCTTGCAGCCTTGTTGAACATGAAAATATTTTTAAAAAAAAGAGCAAAAGATATCATATATAACATATCAATTAGGTTTTTTTCCTAGGAAGAAGTACAATGCCATCATACAAGTAATAGACTAGAGACATCCTATTGTCCTCAATACCTCACTAAAACTTATATTTTAACCCTATAGAATTTAATCTTATTGATATTATTCAAACTAACTCAAGACTAAAAAAAAAAGTAATATTCAACAATAAATCTACTAAAAGGAAAGACATATTATCAAGTGCATACAAGAAAGTATTCAAGGTCCAATTCTATTTTTATTCAACATACCCCTAATAAATACCTCTAAAATGAATTTTAAACATCAAATTACACTTCATTTACACAAGTACAATCATTGCAACAATTCAACAACTCACAGACCTAACGATTCAACAATTCACAGACCTAACGATTCAACAATTCACAGATTGGTTAATTTAAAAACACATATCTACAAAAATTTATCTAGCACCTACATAATGAATTAAATTCAAAGATAACTGTAACAGTTGGGTTTTATCTGAAATAATATTCAATCCTATAAGTATCTGAAAAAATATTCAATTATATAATCAACAATTTAGCATTACTCCAAAATATTGTACAATTAGTTTTAGTCAACTCAAATCAATATTTATTTCAATGATTATATTTAAACATTACACTCGTTGGATTCCATATTCAATTAAATTCAAAAGAATCAAAAAAAAACTCACAAGGTATTTAGCCTGAACATTCCTTTTAAGGATCCATTGAAAAGCACTTGTAAATAATTTCGGTAAAGTGTTCTAAAATATTTAAAAAATAAAAATTTAAAATATTTAAAAGTGTTCTAAAATATTTAAAAATGGTGTTAAAATTAAAAAAGTATAATAAAAAAGATTAAGAATAAATTTTTGTTTTAATTTTAATTTCAAACATTAAGTTAAAACATTAAAAAAAATAATTTCAAAAATAATTAAATATTTTAAATAAGTTTAAATTTTAAAAAAATTAAAATTATAAATTTTTTCTCTTTATTTACAGAATTTTTTAATTTGCATCTATTTTTATTTATGAAAAGTTTTTCAATTTGTAAATACTGTCACAATATATTTTATTGTGTAAATACCATGACAAATTATTTTATTTTGTAATAGTGTGACAAATTATTTTAAATACTGTGACAAATTACTTTATATTGTAAATACTGTGACAAATTATTTTATTTTGCATTTAAACAAATATGAATTATAAAATTTAAAATGCATAAAGTTAAAATAATTAAAATTGTTTAAAATTTTAAACCAACTGAACATGAGCAATAGTTTATGACACACATAAAAAGACTTTAGTACTAAAAAACTTTCCTGAATATTAATTTTCTCCTAAAAACATGTTTAACAGAGGAAAAATATAGATTAGAACTTAACTATAAAGAAACAAAAAATTTTTATTAATTTTTAGTTTAAATTTTTTTAATAATGAACTAATTAAAACAAAAATTGCAAAAATAGTGTAAAATGTAATAATAATAAAATATAATATACAATATTTGTAACTGCTCCATATGGGCAAATGTTCCTTCAGGTATTGTTCTGAGAAGATTTTCATGCAGAAACCTAAAAATAGATATAAATAAAAAAATTCAGTTCTTATTATAGCCAAATAAATACTAATAAATTTTTTTTTTTTTTAAAAGTTTAATGCACAGGTTGAAATAGTGGTCTGTATGCATGTGTTGAAATATTGTCAGTATCCATAGTTTGAATAGTGGTCAGTATGACCATTCCACCATCAAAAACACTTTACTGCACCCTGAACATTTTGTTTTTATTATTTTAGGATTTATTTAGGTCAGAACAATGCTTTGCAGCACATTTTTTTAAGCTATAAAAATGTTTTAATGCGTAAAGTTTTAAGACTGTTACATTTGGCTTTTTTTCTCACCAAAAACAAACACATACTTGACATAATGCAAAAACACACACATACTTGACATAATGCAAAAACACACACATACTTGACATAATGCAAAAACACACACATACTTGACATAATGCAAAAACACACACATACTTGACATAATGCAAAAACACACACATACTTGACATAATGCAAAAACACACACATACTTGACATAATGCAAAAACACACACATACTTGACATAATGCAAAAACACACACATACTTGACATAATGCAAAAACACACACATACTTGACTTAATGCAAAAACACACACATACTTGACATAATGCAAAAACACACGCATACTTGACATAATGCAAAAACACACACATACTTGACATAATGCAAAAACACACACATACTTGACATAATGCAAAATGCTGGCAATAAAAATTGTAGCTGGCAATTACAAATTGTAGCTGACAATTAAAAATTGTAGCTGACAATTAAAAATTGTAGCTGGCAATTAAAAATTGTAGCTGACAATAAAAATTGTAGCTGGCAATTAAAAATTTTAGCTGGCTATTAAAAATTGTAGCAATATTGTAAATTTCAATCATTTTAATTTCATTTGAAAACATTTGTAAATAAAATAATAAATATTCAAAATAAAATTTAAAAATTAAAAATTGTAGCTGACAATTAAAAATTGTAGCTGGCAATTAAAAATTGTAGCTGGCAATTAAAAATTGTAGCAATATTGTAAATTTCAATCATTTTAATTTCATTTGAAAACATTTGTAAATAAAATAATAAATATTCAAAAAAAAATTTAAAAATTAAAAATTGTAGCTGACAATTAAAAATTGTAGCTAGCAATTAAAAATTGTAGCTGGCAATTAAAAATTGTAGCTGGCAATTAAAAATTGTAGCTGGCAATTAAAAATTGTAGCTGGCAATTAAAAATTGTAGCTGGCAATTAAAAATTGTAGCTGGCAATTAAAAATTGTAGCTGGCAATTAAAAATTGTAGCTGACAATAAAAATTGTAGCTGGCAATTAAAAATTGTAGCTGGCTATTAAAAATTGTAGCAATATTGTAAATTTCAATCATTTTAATTTCATTTGTAAACATTTGTAAATAAAATAATAAATATTCAAAATAAACATAAGAAACAATAAAAAAAATATGTAATATAAAAATAACAAAAATAAAAAACTGCTACATAATACTTTTTTATACTGTCAAATTTAAATTGCTCACGATATAAAATTTAAAAAAATTAAAAAATTATTTTACACTTATCCCTGGCTGTAGAGATCTACTCTATATAAGAACATGGATAAAAAAATATTTAAAACTTTTTAATTCATATGTAATCTGTTCAGTAATTTCTTATCAATTATTTTATCATAATTATCTATCAACTTCTATTTTATCTATCAGATATCTAATGTCACACAAAATAGATGAGAGGATATCTAATGTCACACAAAATAGATGAGAGGATATCTAATGTCACACAAAATAGATGAGAGGATTTAAATACTTATTGTACTGAACTAGCTGAACAACTGAACAATTGCAACACAAAAACTATCTTAAACTTCCTTTGTTTTCTGTTGATTTCCAACTTAGCTTTTACCTTGTTGGAAGTTTAACAAAAAAAAAAAAAAAGTTGAGTGAATTTTAATTTTAAAAAAAGCCATTTTAGCCATAAATATAACTTTTTTAAACAAAAAAGTTTGCATAATGAAATGCGACATGAAATATCTTTAAATTTTAGTCATAAAAATATTTTGATTAGGGAAAAATTTTGATTAGGAAATAAACAAAGAATGTTTTTTTTAATAATATGTTTACATTCTTCGTTCTTTCATTTTTTCTAAGAACATGTTTACATTCTTTGTTCTTAGAAAATCTGATTACTTATTTATTTCTAATAACATGTCTACTTCTTTGTATTTAGAAAATCTGATTATTTATTTTTAACTACTTTAAAAGGTAACACTACATTTAGGTAAGGGTTCACCAATAAATTACGAGATTTTAAGATTATAAGACAAGATTATAAAATTCTTGCAATCAAATGTTTCTTATCAACATAGTTATTGCTTACACAACTTTATTGTAAGGTTAGGGAAAGGGTTTAAGATTATAGGTTAGATAAAGTATGATAAAATTGTTAAAAAACAACTGCTACCCATAACAATCTAAAGTAATTATAGGTTAGGATCTATAATCATAAACCTATTTAACAACAAGTTATATTGCATGTTTAGATAAGACAACATACTGAAATAGCTAACTGCTGGAGGCTTCAGTATGTATATCAACTGACTATATAACAATCACATGCAAGAAGTGCTGCTACACAAACTAAAGGTTGAATTGTTAAATATTAAAAGGGCGGAAGTCCAAATAAAACTACATTTCCCCCTGGTAGCAAAATTTTGTCAGACTGCGTGGTCAATGTGTCTAAAAAAATTACTTTAAGCGTGGACAAACAAGGAGTACAGCCACACACATTTCCTGGGAAGGCTTAATTGCAAAGTTAGCATCTGCTAAGCTTCTTTTTATAACCATCAGGTTGACACACTGAAGAAATCAGTCTAAATATAAAATATTTTTTATTTATACCGTTTAACAACAGATTAGTGTTTATTTTACAGGTTAGTGTTTATTTCCTTACTCCTGACTACATTCACTACCTTTACAAATTTCTTATTTGCCCCTGTATGAAATACTGTTGTCATATTAGGGCTGATTCTTCTAACGATGCTCTTTCTCTTTTAGGCAAGGTCCAAAGACGCTTTGTAAATGTAGTTGGACCTGCTCTATCTGTTAAACTTGAGCCTCTCTCCCATCGTCATTAAGTCGCATCTCTTTCTCTTTTCTACAAATATTTTCTCTTTTCTACAAATATCATTGTTTCTGCTAAAAGAAGCTATTATCTCTAGTTTCATCAATCAAAACTAATTTTTGCTTAACTAACATTCAGTAAATTCACACCTTTTTACTGTATCTGTCTATTCATGCTCTAAGAACTTTTATTTATTTACTTTTTTTACCTTTAAAACTCTCCTCAATCTTCATGTTTTCCTGACTCAAACAAATTACAACTTTTCAAGTTTTCTTTCATATGTTTCTATGCTCTATAACTCTATTCTTTGTTTTCTAGTAAATTCCAACTTAATAGTGGTTGCTTGCAGCCTTGTTGAATGAAAGTCATGGTTTAAAATATTAGTAGTGTATTTATTTATTTTTTGTTACAAAACAAAAGAATTGCAATTGAAATTTCATTAATTTATACAAATAATGAGTAGCAGTAACAGTATCAAAAACAGCCTAACTGAGCAAGCTCGAAAAGGGACTAGCCAGAATAATACTGAAATTGTAAAAAAAGAAATCTAAAATACGAAAAGCAGAACAGTGTTGCAATAGCTCAAAAGAAAAGTTTGAAAAGAGACTTTTCAGATTAATATAGAAATAAAGAATAAACTGAAATGATGAACTTTAATTGATCGACTGCATGCTTAAAACAAACCCTCAGTTGATGTAGCAGCACTCCTTGCATGTTCTACCTATCTGTCAGTCGTTGTAGCAACACTCCTCGCATGCTCTACCTCTTTGCTAGTTTTTCGATACAATTCATTAATCAAATTCCAATATTATAGGCATTATCGACATTATTCCTTCTAAATGAATTTTTTTTTTCTTTTAGACTTAATTCTATGAATTTAATTTTTGATATTAATTGCAAAAAATGTTTCAATCAAAAAAATTTCGATCTTAATCTATTTTTCAAGCAATTTTTTTTTTTATACTATTGCATTCCCCAAATATCAGTCACTTTCTCACTCATAAGTTTTTCATCAAAATTTATGAAAGTTACGGAATCGAATCAAAATTTATGAAAGTTATTGAAATTTATGAAAGTCATGGAATCAAAGTTTTCAAATAAACAAAGTTTGTTAAAATAGGAAGTTATTTGCAATAAGAATTTATAAGGTTGTTATAGCAAATGACTAATTGGCATCATGATATAATCTCTTCATTGTGTAAATAATAAAAATACTTTTAAAAAAAACACCAAAATATTTAGGCTAATTCTCAAAGTTTTAACACTTTAGTTTGTTAAACTTGAGTTACACAAATTTAAAATTAAAATGCTTTGATTTAAGATAATAACTAATGCTACTAAGTTATGAAATATTTTTCACATATATGGCACTATCGGTTAGCTAAAGAAATTTCCTGCATAACTGTGTTTAGGAAACTCTCTGCTTTTTGTGTGGTTCTCCTTTGATATTTGAAGATTTTAAATTTAATTTAATTTAAAATACCTTTTAAAGTTGATGAAAAAGACTCTAATCTTTCAAGTTTTAGAATACAACTTTTTCACAAGACTTGTGCTTAAGACCTGGTACAAGCTTTGTGGCCCTTTGCTGAACTTTTTCAAATTTCATTTGTTAAGTGTGGGTTTCAAACTGGTGCACAAAATTCTTAGTTGGTTCTAACATTTTAAGTTGTATATAGTTTAGTTAATGAGACATGGACCAGAATTTAAAAACTTTATTGGTTATCATTATGATGGGGTCTTTCCATTTTTGATTATTACTTTTGCTGATACCTAGATTCAGTTCCTGTGTCATTTTGTTTAACTCGATGATTGTTTCATCGTAAATAGTTATTATATATAATGAAGTAGCT